CTGCCCAAATAAAGCAACAACCAACATATTATTAACCAATGATAATGTATGTCAGTAAGAGTAGATATGGTGTAGTAATGGTTGCAATTCTACTTTATTTTTATTAACTACAATCACATATCCACTATTTTATTGGGATAAATGAGACAAAATGATCTTCAATTTTATTTTGAGGATAAAAATGTGAAAAATGACATTTGAAGGACTAATGAGAGCAGATTTGCTCCAGTGTATTGTTCAAAAGTGTCTGGTTTTAGAATACGCCAAAATTACCTACTGGATAGAGGTCAGTTCAGATAAAGTTAGATGGGAGGAAGGAAATCATAAAACAAGAGAAAAGAAGGAAGAGAAGAAGGAAGAAAGGAAAAAAGAGGAAGGGAGGGAGGGAGGGGAAAAAGAAAAGAGGGAGGAAGTAAGTAAAACCACATTTAAATCTAGAAAGGGAACTACTAAGAGGATATTTAAAAGCAGCTAAAATCATGAAAAAAAAAAGGGAAATATAAAAACTAAACTCTGTTCCACACAACTCCCTGAGTACTAGAGAAATATCTGGATATTTCTCAAAATATACACTATACTAAGCTGCCTGGATTCCTTTATGGTTGTCATGGATCAAATAAGTCTCCATTCTATATTATAAATAGTAAATCTAAAGGACATTTTTTTGTACCTGATGGAAGACAGGGTTCAAAAAGTGTTTTGTTTATTTTTTATTTTTTTTCATTTTAACTTTGAAAAGTGTTTGTATGAATGTATGCTTTAATATCATCCATGTTCCTCAGTGATGTTGACTTAGATCACTAGATTAATTAACTGTTTGCTTCACATGGTATTATAATGAGAATGGAATTCAGAATTTATTTAATGAGAGACCTTACACCATGCAAAATCATTTTCACTTCAGGAAAAAATCCAGTCACTTGCAAGCTGTTACTTAGTCTTTGGCACATTTATATGTATTGGAGAATGCTCAACTTCATAGTGATGGCCATTTCAGAACTGGGTGATATCATTCGTAATTCTCATATTTTCTATAATTAATTCTATACATCACATTATGAATCATCTCATTTTAATAATGATGGTCATTTCAGTGTTTAAAGGCAGCCGTTGAGTAAGGTTAAACATTTCCAGTTCCTTAAACTTGTCCTTTTATGAAATGCTTTCCAGATACCTCATTGTTTGCTTAAGGATTTAGACAATCTCATTTTAGTTAAAATACACACCTCTGCTGTATACCCAGTACTGCATTCTAGGTAATATCTGAAGAATGCACTGATACTATTATAAGCTTGATAATTCTAGGGAGCAAATCTACATGGATTTTGTTTTATTACTTGTACAATAGCCATATGTCCTTCTCAAATTTGCTTTTGTATCCATAGCAAATTTGAATTAATATAGCTTAATATCAGTGTCACAGTTACTTTATTAAAATGAACTTTCTTTCATGTGATCAACAAGGGAAGCAGGTCCAGTGATGGCTTTCCAAGATGCCAGTGGAGTTGTGGGTCTTCCCGTGTGTGCATGTATTGTGCAGCGTGTGTGAGTGTGAAGGTTTGCATACATGTGTAGGGGTGTGTGCATGTGCACAGGCATGCATATAGAGATGTTCTGCTAGAAGATATTATTGCAATTTCTATGGCTTCTTTCTAGAGAAATTAACAAGTAAAGAGAATCTTGATTTTTGTCATTTTACACATAAAGTAAAAAGAAAAGAAAACAGAAATAAAAGGATACAAAAGAAAGAAAATGTTTATGGGAGAGAATATTATCTTTAGGGATAAGAGATAAAGTTAGAACAATTCAAGATTTTAGAATGTATAACTGATAAAACTTGGTTAGCAATTGACAACAAAAGCCCTTTGTTTTTACTGCATAAGAGATTGCTTTTTAAAGTATTCATAGATCTTCTTGAATATGCACCTTAGAATTTAGGAGTGAAATATTTCTCTAGGACGTGAACATCTTCCTGTCAATTATTTTCTCCCCTGTTTTTATCTCGCGAGTATCCCTACAAAATAAAAATCAAAAGCCAACATCCAAACTATCTACTTTATATAGATTACTTTATCAAAATTTTGTGATATTTAGTTCAGTTCAGTCACTCAGTCATGTCCACCTCTTTGCGACCCCATGGACTGCAGCATGCCAGGCCTCCCTGTCCATCATCAACTCCTAGAGTTTACTCAAACTCATTCCATCGAGTCAGTGATGGCATCCAACCTTCTCATCCTCTGCCATCCCCTTCTCCTCCCATCTTGAATCTTCCCCAGCATTAGGGTCTTTTTTTAATGAGTCAGGTCTTTGCATCAGGTGGCCAAAGTATTGGAGTTTCAGCTTCAGCATCAGTCCTTCCAATGAATGTTCAGTATTGATTTCCTTTAGGATGGACTGGATGGATCTCTTTGCAGTCCACGGGACTCTCAAGAGTCTTCTCCAACACCACAGTTCAAAAGCATCAATTCTTCAGTGCTCAGCTTTCTTTATAGGCCAACTATCACATCCACACATGACTACTGGAAAATCCATAGCCTTGACTAGACTGACTTTTGTTGGCAAAGTAATGGCTCTGCTTTTTAATATGCTGTCTAGGTTCATCATAGCTTTTCTTCCGAAGAGCAAGCGAATTTTAATTTCATGGTTTGCAGTGACCATCTGCAGTGATTTTGGAGCCCCCAAAAATAAAGTCTGTCACTGTTTCCACCGTTTCCCCATCTATTTACCATGAAGTGATGGGACCCAATGCCATGATCTTTGTTTTCTGAATGTTGAGCTTTAAGCCAACTTTTTCACTTTCCTCTTTCACTTTCATCAAGAGGCTCTTTAGTTCTTTGCTTTCTGCCATAAGGGTGGTGTCGTCTTCATATCTGAGGTTGTTGGTATTTCTTCCGCAATCTTGATTCCAACCTGTGCTTCATCCAGCCCAGCCTTTTTCAAGATGTACTCTGCATATAAGTTAAATAATCAGGGTGACAATGTACAACCTTGACACACTCCTTTCACTATTTGGAATCAGTCTGTTGTTCCATGTGCAGGTCTAACTGTTGCTTCTTGACCTGCATACAGATTTCTCAAGAGGCAAGTCAGTTGGTCTGATATTCCCATCTCTTTAAGAATTTTCCAGAGTTTGCTGTGGTCCACAAAGTCAAGGGCTTTGGCATAGTCAAGAAAGCAAAAGTAGATTTTTTTCTGGAATTCTCTTGCTTTTTCAATGATCCAACAGATCATTTGACCTCTGGTTCCTCTGCCTTTTTAAAATCCAGCTTGAACATCTGGAAGTTCACGGTTCACGTGTTGTTGAAGACTGCCTTAAAGAAGTTTGAGCATTACTTTACTAGCGTGTGAGATAAGTGCAATTGTGTGGTAGTTTGAGTATTCTTTGGCATTGCCTTTCTTTGGGATTGGAATGAAAACTGACCTTTTCCAGTCCTGTGGCCACTGCTGAGTTTTCCAAATTTGCTGACTTATTGAGTGCAACACTTTCACAGCATCATCTTTTAGGATTTGAAATAGCTCAGCTGGAATTCCATCACCTCCACTAGCTTTGTTTACAGTGATGCTTCCTAAAGCCCACCTGACTTTGCATTCCAGGATGTCTTGCTCTCGGTGAGTGATCACACCATCATGACTGTCTGGGTCATGAAGATCTTTTTTGTATAGTTCTTTTGTGTATTCTTGCCACCTCTTCTTAATATCTTCTGCTTCTATTAAGTCCACACCATTTCTGTCCTTTATTGTGCCTATCTCTGCATAAAATGTTCCTTTGATATCTCTACTTTTCTTGAAGAGATCTCTTGTCTTTCCCATTTGTTTTCCTCTCTTTCTTTGCATTGATCTCTGAGGAAGGCTTCCTTATCTCTTCTTGCTATTCTTTGGAACTCTGCATTCAAATGGGTATATCCTTCCTTTTCTCCTTTGGCTTTGCTTCTCTTCTATTCCCAGCTATTTGTAAGGTGTCCGCAGACAACCATTTTGCCTTTTTGCATTTCTTTTCCTTGGGGATGCTCTTGGTCCATCTTGATGGTCTTGATCTTGGGGACGGTACTGTGTCACGAACCTCCATCCATAGTTCTCCAGGAAAAGTTAAATATTTTTTGTGTTTGTGAGCATTAAAATGTTTTCTAACTGTTTTTGAAATCTTAACTTATAGTAAAGGTATTTAAGATTATTTGAGAAAATTTCAGATGATGATTATTCGGTATTCACCAAGTTTGAACACAATTGTGTTTTTACTCATTATTTTGAAAATTTTATTTATGCACTATCATTTGAGAGAAGTTGCTAGAATTACGGGAGAAAGCAAATGCATTTATTAGAATGCTACTATGTTTTAGAGTGTTGATATCATTTATAGGTGATTAAAGGTAGAATATTCAGTCCCTTAATTGATTTGTCTCGTTTGTAACTTACCTCTTGTGACTTTAATGTTCCAGTTACCAGTACCACTCCTTTGTTGATCAAGCAATATTTAATATGATACAGATAAATAAATAAGAAAGTAAAGTGTCCCATATGTTGTGTCCCAAATAGGCTCAAAGTAAAGAGAAGCCTTACTAAAATTCTATTTCCAAGCCCAGTCCCTTAAGATTCAATAGATCTGGGGTGGTTAGTTCTACCTGAATTTTTTAAGCATCCAGTTGATTCCTATGACAGGGGAAAAATTGGGAATACACTGATGAAAAATTATTCTACAAACACATATGAAAGACTTTTGCATTATTGCTGTTTTGAGCTACCAGGAAAGCCCTGAATCATACATACCACTCATTTATCTAGTAATACACATAACTGAATTAACTGCATATGATATTTAAACTGAGTATATCTTTAAAATTAGAACATAACTGGTGCTCTCCAAAAAATCAGTGTTTTAACTCACATCATTTTCTATGGTGGGGATTCACTCAAATTATATAATGTATTACATCACATAATTTATTTTTGTTTTCATTTATCTTACTCTTTAGCTTAATTGTGTTTTTATTTTTTGTTTGCAGGGTGCAAGTTGAATTTTATATGAATGAAAACACATTTAAAGAGAGACTAAAGTTATTTTTTATCAAAAACCAGAGATCAAGTAAGTTTTTCATTTTAATTCCCTGTCTATATTTTGTATATATGTTCACTGTAAAAAAAAATACAGCTATACAGTTCTTTTTCAAAATATCTTTTATATACAGGAGTAAACTTGATAATCTCTGTCAGGCACTAATGTTTAAAAAGCAGTAGATGTTGCCTCTGGTGATGTCAAAGTATCCTGACACCTTTACATCTTCAAGTCTGGTATCATTTAGTAGAATTCTGAGTGGACCATTTGGATTGATAGAAATACTGAGGAAAATCATTTAAATGAGGGTTCCCCATATTTTCACTGTGAGGGACACCTAAAGCTTGTTTTGAGAAGACTCTGGTGATTCCAGGTGACCATAATGGGGAATATTTTTCTGATTTAGCATTTAGTAGGGGCGAGCTTACCTATCACACCTAATAGGCAGAAATATGTAGGGTGTCCTGAAATGTACACCTTTCCCTGGAGATTTAAAATGAGGAAGTGCAGAGCCAAGATCAGCATATAACATCCCAGGAATTCTTGCCATAAAATACATTTCGGAAACTTTGGAACTTCAGGAGGGCATGAAATTGGCATAGTCACTGTCCTCCTAAGCCTGTTCGGGGTTGAAGTGTCAGTCATACTTCTTACCTCTCCACAATACCATGTATTTTTGAAAAGTCATATATAATGAACCAATATGCAATTTTTTCATGTGATTATTGCTTAAGATGTCAATAAGCAATGGAGATAGTTTGGTGTTGACTTTACTCTTTCACAGTTTGACCTCTGAATCCTCTTTTGTGGTTTAATGTGAGTTCATAAAGAAAAACTTGAGTTATGAGAAGTTACCTGAATACTAACCACCGGAAGTATTTCAATCTGTAAGGCACACAGATTAGAGACTCTTAGTGGCTGGTTAGCTCAGGGTTAGGTTAATAATAACTAGTGCTTCTCTAATCTGATTCGTTAGAGGTCGCAGATATTACCTGAAGAGGCCACATTATTTGCATAAAAGGTTTCCTTTATTTTAGTACTAAAACTTCTGTCTCTCCAGGCCAGAAAGAATACCCAGCTTTGACTAAACTATCGTTTAAGGAGACCAGTTCTATAAAACCAGGGCAATTTCATTAACAGTTTAAAAGATTTTATTAAGAAACTAACTTGTATGTACCTAGCATTTTAATAGGAAAACCAAGGAAAAATTACACAATTAATAAGCATTAACCTTTTACTGTTAAGTATTACCTTAAGTACACTCACCTATAGGAGAGTAAAAACAAAATGGCATTTCATTTGTAGCTTTTATTAAGAAATAATTATTGGAAGACCTTTCTCAGAATTTTATTCATAATGCGTAAATCTGGTACCACCTGATGATTGCAGGAAAGGTAATGCTTCTATTAATCAGATTTTAAGCACATTTTGCTTAATGTTAATTGCTCTTCTCCAACATCAAATATCACAGCCATGTACAAAGATACATACATGGCTGTGTTATTTCCCACAAAAAAGTTTTTAAGATTTTACCAGTATTTAAACCTATAATGAAAAGTTAGTTAAATCTCAAAAATCGGGGTGTGAGTGTGTATATTTCCCATTATACGCTATTAGGATTTCTTGGTAATTCTATAATTACTATCTAAATGTATAATACATAATTATATGTGGTTATAATTTCTCTATAATCAAATCTGCAAGGTGCTGAGAAGATACAAAGTTTAAAACTTATCCTTGTGAACTTTTAAGCAGCTAGATTTTCTGCTAATTAAAATTTATCCCAAAATTTATAGATCTATAAAATGGTTAAACTTTTAAGTATGCCTAGACCAATCTTGGTTGGATATGATTTTTATGGCTTCGAATGCTCAGAAGTTGAATTACTTAGTGTATAATATCCACTATCATTTGTGGTTCGTACAAACTGTCATTCTCATTTTTTGTTTCAATCTTCAGGCACTTAGAACTTCAGAGTGGGTAAACATTATGGTAGTGTAGTTTCTAAACACAATTTAAGTGCTGTACTTAAAATTGATATTTTTGACAATTTTTTTAGTTATCTGTGAACTGAGTTTAAATGCAAATCCAATTTTTGTTGTTTGTTTAAAGGTCTAAGAATACGTCTGTTCAATTTTTCTCTCAAATTATTAAGCTGCTTATTATACATAATCAGAGTGCTACTAGAAAACCCTTCACAAGGAAATGAATGGTAAGGTGTCTTTGTCTGATTTTCTTCAATATTATTGTTATTAGTTTAAATTGTATTATAAGTTTTGAGGTAAAACTGGTAATAACATTACATTAGTTTTAGGTATACAACATAATGGTTCAATCTTTGTATACATCACAATAAGTCTGGTTACCGTACATCACCGTATAATCCATCTCCTTTACCCATTTTGTCCCCATCCTCACCCTTTCCCTCTGACAACCAGCAATCTATGAGTTTTGTTTCATAAGCTTTTTTTTTTTTTATGTTTACATGCAAGTGAAATCATATGGTATTTGTCTTTTCTCTAACTTATTTTATTCACCATAGTGCTCACTATGTCCTACCATGTTGTCACCGATGTCAAGCTTTCCTTCTGTTTATGTCTGAATGACATTCCACTGTGTGTGTGTGTGTGTGCACCTTCTTTATTCCTACATTCATCAATAAACACTTGAGTTGTTTCCATATCTCAGCTACTGTAAACACTACTGCAATGAACATAAGGGTGTGTATATCTTTTTGAATTAGAGTTTTTTAGTTTGGGGAGGGGGATATAAATACCCAAAAGTAGAATAGTTAGGTTATATGGTAGTTTTATTTTTAATTTTTTTTGAGGAGCCCCCAAACTCTTTTCCATAGTGGCTTCACCAATTTACATTCTCACAAATCACATAAGAGGATTCCCTTTTCTCTAAAATTTTAAATACTTTTTCTTTTTATTATGCTCATCCTAACAGGTATGAGGTGATTTCTCATTGTGATTTCGAGTTGTATTTCCCTATTACTTGCATTTCCCCAGTAATCTTGAGAAACTTTTCATGGATCTGTTGGACATCTGCATGTCTTCTTTGAAAAAGTGTCTATCTGGATTCTGTAACAGTTTTTATTCTTTTTTGTTTCTTTGTTTGTTTTACTATTGAGTTGAATGGGTTCTTTCATATTTTGAGTATTAACTCCTTTTCAGATATATGATTTGCAAATATTTTCCCATTCTAGGTTGCTTTTTCATTTTATTGCTGGTATGCTTTCCTGTGCAGTAGCTTTTCAGTTTGAAATAGTCCCACTTTTTTTTTTTTTGCCTTTGTTTTTGACATCAGATTTAAAAAATCATCACCAAGGCCTATATCAAAGGACTTACCACCTGTTTTCTTCTAGGAGTCTTATGATTTGGTTTCACACCTTACATTCAAGTCTTTCATCCATTTTGGGTTAATTTTTATGTACTGTGTAAGACCGTGGTCTTTGTTGTTGCTTGGCTCCCCAGGTGGCTCAGTGGTAAACAATGCATCTGCCAGTGCAGGAAACGTGGGTTCAATCCCTTGGTCAGGAAGATCCTCTGGAGAAAGAAAATGGCAACCCACCCTAGTATTCTTGCCAGGAGAACCCCATGGACAGAGGAGCCTGGTGGGCCATGGTCTAGGGGGTTCACAAAGAGTCGGACAGAACAAAAACAAAGATAATGGTCTAGTTTCATTTTTTACGTGTGTTCTATTTTCCCAGCTCAATATATTGAAGAGACTGTCTTTTCCTCATTGTATATTCATAACTCCTTTGTCATATGTTACTTGACTATATATGTGCCTAAATATTGTTGGGCTCTATATTCCGTTTCATTGCTCTATGTATGTTTTTAATGCCAATACCATGCCATTTTTGTTGCTATAGCTTTGCGTATAGTTGAAATTAGGGAGCATGATTCCTCTAGGCTTGTTCTTCTTTCTCAAGGCGCTTGGCTATTTAGGGTTTTTCGTGGTTCCATATAAATCTCTAAATTGTTTGTTTTAGCATTGTGAAAATGTCTTTGGAATTTTGATAGAGATTACACTGAATCTGTAGATTGCTTTGGATAGTACGGACATTATAGCAATACTAATTCTTCCAATCCATGGGCACAGGATATCTTTCTATTTCTTTGCATCTTATTTATCGAATAATTTATTTTGTCAGTGTCATAGTTTTCAGCATACAGGTCCTTTCACCTCCTTGACTAAATTTGCTTCTAGGAATTTTATTCTTTCTGATGCAATTGTAAATGAGGTTGCTTTCTTAATTTCTCTTTCTGATATTCCATTATAATTTATAAACATATGCATCCACAGAGAGTTGGTTCCAGGACCCCAGCATAATACCAAAATCCACAGATGCACAAGTCACTTACATGAAATGGCATAATATTTGCATATAATCCATGAACATCCTTGCATATACTCTATGTCATCTCTAAATTGCTCATAATACAAATCTAGTGTAAATGATAGTGAATAGCTGCTAGTATTGGGAAATTTCAAGTTTTGGTTTTTGGAAATTTCTAGAAATTTTTTTTTTCCAAATACTTTTGATCCATGGTTGATTGAATCTGCAGATGTAGACCCCATGGATAAAGAGGGCTAAATGTACGCTGATTTTGTATTCTGCAACTTTGCTGAATTTATCTATTTGTTCTAACAGGTTTTTTTGGTGCCATTCTTAAGGTTTTCTATAGGCAGTCTCATGTAATCTACAACTCATTTCAGTTTTACTTTTTTTTTTTTTTTTCCAATTTGGATGACTATTTCTTTTTCTTGCTTAATTGCTGTGGTGAGAACTTATAGTACTATGTTGATAAAAGTGACAAGAGTAGGCATCTTGTCTTGTTCCTGATCTCAGAGGGAAAGCTTTTAACTTTTCATCAAGTATGATGTTAGCTGTGGGTTTGTCATATATACGACCTTTATTATGTTGAGGTCTGTTGCCTCTATACCTGTTTTGATAAGAGTTTAGAAACTGTTATAAAACCAAAACATAACACACACATTTTTGTGGCACTACACAGTATTTAGAAAATCCTGTTCTTCCCCACCTACCTCCTTCCTAATCACCCCTCTAAAGGACGAGAAGTTGCTGACCAGATTGAAGTGAGCCCAAGATACTCATTGGGCTGTATTTTCACAAATGAACAGGGTTGCTATACTAACAGGCTTCCCAGGTGGCACTAGTGGTAAAGACGTGAGAGACCTAGGTTCAATCCCTGGGTCTGGAAGATCCCTTGGAAAAGGGCATGATGACTCACTCCAGTATTCTTGCCTGGAGAATTCCATCAACAGAGGAGCGTGGCGGGCTGCAGTCCATAGAGTCTCAAAGTGGCGGATGTAACTTAAGCACGGATGTTGAATCAAAGTTCGACAATGTCTTTTCTGTATCTGTTGAGTTCATGATGTAATTTTTTATATGTTTAGTTAAGGTGGTTAGTATTAATGAGATGTTGAACCATATCTGCATAAATGAATCCCAGGAATAAAGCCCATTTGATGTATTCGTACCAAGTTGCTTCAGTGGTGTTGACTTTTTACAACTCTAAGGACTGTAGCCGGCCAGGCTCCTCTGTCTGTTCCTCTAGGGATCTTCCTGACCCAGGGATCAAATCCATGTCTCACATCTCCTGCACTGATGCAGGGGCTCCTTTACCACTAGTGCCACCTGGGAAGCCTGTGTATCTCATGACTAATTATTATAGTTAGTTTTACTACTTTTTTCTTTTAACCTTAGTAATAGTTTAATAAATGGTCAGTCCCTTAGTTTTATTGTTATGTACCTTTACCTGTGAGGTTTTTTTTTTACTGTGTTATGTTTTTTTGTTACTGGATAGTGCCTTTTCAGCTTAAAGAAGTCCCTTTAACATTTCTTTAAATGGGAGTTTAGAGGTGATAAAATCCTTTGGCTTTTGCTTGTCTGAAAGCCTCTTTATCTCCCTTCAATTCTAAGTGACAACTTTGCCAAGTAGAGTGTTCTTGGTTGTAAGATTTTTCCTTTCAGCAATTTGAATCTGTCATGTCACTCTCTTTCGGCCTGCAAAGTTTCTTCTTGAAAATCAGCTGATAGACTTACGGAGCTTCCCTTGTATGTACAAAGTTTTTGTTTGCTTGTTTGCTGTTTCTCTTGCTTTTAATATTCTCTTTAACTTCTGACAGTTTTATTATAATGTGTCTCTCTCCGGGTTTTTCTCATTTGTAACTCTCTTGTCTTCCTGGACCTAGATGTCTGTTTTCTTCCGTAGGTTAGGAATATTTTCACTCATTATTGCTTGTATAAACTTTCTGTCTCTCTTCTCTCTGTGTGTCTTTTTTGTTATCCCTATCATGTGTACATTGGTCTTTTGGATGGTGTCCCATAAACCCCTTAAGCTATCTTCACTCTTTGTCATTTTTTTTTTCTTTATGCTGCTCTTACTGAAAGAATTCCATTATCTTGTCTTCAAGTTTGCTGGGGCTTTTTTTTGTTGCTATTGTTGTTGTTGTTTTCCTTCCGCTTGATCTAGTCTTCAGCTGAAGCCGTTTGTTACATTTTCCAGTTCAGTTATTGAACTCTTTAGCCCTGTGACTTTCATTTTGGTGCTTTCTGACATTTTCCATCTCCTTTTTGAACTTCTCACTGTATTCATGTTTTCTCTCAAGTTTGGTGAGCATTTCTATGAGCATTATTTTGAACTCTTTATCAGATAAATTACTTATCCCCATTTCTTTAAGGATTTTTAAAGTTCGATATTGTTCTTTCTTTTGAAACCTATTCCTCAGTTTCCTCATTTTGCTTTTCTCTCTGTGTTTCTTTGTATTGGACAAAATGGGGAACCTCTTCTAGGCTTGAAGGAGTGTCCTTATGTAAGCTGTGAACCTTATTGTTCAGCCCTGCCCTAGCTCTTGGTTATCTCTCAAATCTTTGTAATTGTTTAAACACCCTGATATATTCTTGATAAGTTCCAGATTTTGAGGTTTTACTAAGCCCTGTCATGTTCAAAGGTAGAGGTCTCAGTCAGCCCCTAGTTTTGGCTAAGTGGAAGCCAGACCCTCGGGGAGCAGCTTTAAAGTCCTATGGGACCACTGTCTTTGCTGGCCTTCAGACAGGTGATTTGGATGTGACAGTTCCACAAGTCAGGGCTCCAGATGAGTGTGTATGCTCCTCTCTGTGAGATCCTGGCGAGCTGTGGCAAGGCCTGAGAGAGTGCAAAGATAGCATTCACTCCC